TTTTAATTCACTGGAGTAATTTATACACAATTTTGATTAAGTACATTGTAAAAGTTATTAATTTATCAATATAGAACTCAAAAAACTTGTATTTCATATTATTAATTTCACCTTGTTGAAGTTTTCACTTCTGTCGTGTGGTCTTATGCATACACATTTTTTTTAAACACTAATACATCAAAGATTCTGAGCTTAGCCGAAGCAATAATGAAAACATTGATTTTACAATAATAAGTTTGCTTTTTGTGTGTGTCTCCTGGCTTTTTTCAAGCTAAATATAGGTTGAATATTTTTTTTCAATTATTTTCATTAATATTGCTCACTCTGTAATATACTTAAACATTGAATTGGTTCATTTAATATAGATTCATTGTACATTTTCATTTTAGCTGTTCAAAAATATTAAAGATACATTTGTACAATTTTTTGTGATTCACGATTTGTCATTTTCATTAAAATTTCAAGAACGGCCCTTTTAGGAATAACTATACATTATCTATTTTGTACATTATTTTCAAAATTGTTATCAACATCAGCTGTTTAATTTGAAATATAAACAATTGTTTATACACGTATATGTAATTTAAGGTACCTATTTACTAAAAAGTAGAAAATATACTTCAAAATAATAATTAAAATATAATTTTTAATGCATAATACTTTATAATATGACCGCAAAACTATTGGCTTTGTCGACTTGTTGTAACCCATAGACATCTTGCGTTGTACCATTACCATACGATAATAATAATCTTGCGTTGTGAAAAAAAATACATACGAATGTATCAAAAAACCATAATGTTTATGTGGTGAAAATTGAACTCAAACTTTATGTGTTTTTTTAACAAACCAATCTTCTCGTACCTAAAAATGAATATAATAATGCAACGACATTTTTTTTAACAATTACATAAATTACAAATACATTTAAGTACCGGGTCCCATAAATTGGCTGTGCACACGGGCACATCATTGCACACCAACACGGTATTACGGTATAAGAAAAAAATCTGAATTATTATATTGTATTGTACAAACAGTAATGCGGTAAAATAAATTAAATTTCACTGTTACCGCTATGTATTATAAATCACTTCACCACCAACCACCATGGTCCAAAATGTTAAGTATTCCACAGACCACAACATTCAAATAAATGTGAATAATAATAATAATACACTGTTTAAGATTAATTTTAGAACAGTCAATTATAAATATTTCACAATTATAAATTTAAAAAAAAAATAATATGGTTAAGACAATTTAATAGTCTTTTTTGATCATTGCGATTTACCGCTTATTTAATTTGTATATTATGTTTTTGTAATTAAGATTTAACTAACTATTACGACGAACAACTCGCCCAAATTTATCTGAACTGTGTTTTAAAATAATGTAATATGTAAGATCGGTTCGAAGATAAATCTATCAAGTGTCACTATCAGCATGAAAATATTTATTTGTGTTCTATAAAATATGTAATAAATAGGCAAGTTTCAAATTTTTAAACAAAATAATTTCCACTGTCTATCCAACCTACTGATTAATAATCTACAAAAGTTTAATTTAATGTTTTACTAAAATTTGGGTAGAATTATATTTCCGAAAGGTAAATAATGATTGCCCCACACCAAAACTCCCTATTCTTAAGCGAATAAAACGAAAATTATAACTCCTTATTTACACAACAATAATGTTGGCAATGTAAAATTGAAAAAATCTTAAAAACATATGGAATACTAAATTAATTAGAAATAAAGTTTTAGAATACTAAACTATTTTAATCGAAGTCTCTATGCATGCCAAGGACTTTATTCTTTAGTACATCCTCAAAAATACACAGTAAGTCGATTTGGTGATCTTTGAATGTTTGATTTCCGTTGATTAACAATATACACTCTAGGTACTTATTAATAATATTTCCGAGCTGACTTTCAGCGGAAAGGAACCTAACTGTTCCAAGTATTTTCATTAGATGATTCAAATATTTGTCCATGACGGTGATTATGTCTTTTTGTAATTGCTCGTCGACGACACAATTCTTATTCGGGATAGGATAATGAAGTATCATCCGCATGTATTTCATATATTTGCTCATATTATCCAAATCTACTTCCAAATCTAAAGACTGGGATTTATTTGAAATCAGTTATAGATAAATTATTTGCACCTCATACATTCTAAGTATTTCAATTTAAAAAGTTTAGCTGTGTATAATTACCGTTATTAAATTATTCAATTTTATTGGTCTGTGTCTCAAAACTTTAATCTCGGCACATATTGCCTTCTGAACACAATGCTTAATGCGATTTTCCATCTTAGTGTTGCTGTTCACCTTCGTTACAAGATTTTCGATATTTTCCTCGTCAATAAGTACAATTTCAAGATAGCTGAGGCTGCTGAAAAACCATTGGTGACTTTTTAGCTTACAGAAATGAAGCCACTTGGCGAATGCTCCGTCCATGTCCTGATCAACGATCGTCTGGTATATTAAAGTACTACGCCTGTGAGCGGCTGCAACCATTTCAAGATGGTTATTACCAAAACTTTTTACTGAAATAAAAATGTTATATTATATTATTTTAAAATATCAAGTAACTTTGCACCAATGAAAAATCCAGTGTTTGGAAAGAACGTCGTTCATGAACCAACATTTACCCGTTCGTGTCATATTTAGTGAATATATCAGTCGTTTTTCAGATAGAAGGCAAACATGAACGACGTTTATACTTTGGATTCGTACATTAAAATTAATTGAACATTAAAAAATATAATATGTACAACTGTTGATTAATAATATGATTATAATATAATATAATATAATGCCATTTTCTATTATAATATTCCTGTTACAGTAGAAATCGTTCATCATCACACCGATTGTAGTGATATATCGGGTTTTATGACCTTAAAGTAAATGACCCAAAAAATGCATAGATAAGTTTTATATGTTAAATTTTATCGATAGTTATGATTATCGGTTATTATGATCTATTTTCCTTGGTCCTTTGAAAGTTATTATACGATTTCTACTGTATATTTGGTTATGAATTATAAAAACGAAATACGAGAAATTCCAGTTAGCACGGCTTGACATAAAACAACAATAATATTATGATTTCTACAATTCGGTATAATTAGTAAAAATTTAAATGATTCATAAATATAAAATAAAAATTTTAAGTAACGACCAAATTAATGCATTCATGTTTTCAAAGAACGTTAAAGTGTTCATTTGAAAAAATAATGTACTTGTATAAGCTCAATTGCTTAGTGAAAATTCCAAACACTGGAAAAATCTATCTAGGTGTATAATAGTTCACACGGTCAAAGTTAGGAAGATCAAGCAGAGGATTTAAATGTAAGTGTTTGATTTTTTCCCATACTCGTGTGTTGTTTTTAANTTGTTGTTGTTGAACGCTCTGGTTATCCAGCGATATGGAAAGGTCGACTTGAGACTGTTTGAAATAATCTTTCCAGAAATAATTGTCTGTGTCTGTATAGCATTTGTAATCATTGGGCAACTATACCATATCTATACATGATTTTTTTTTATCTCGAAAATTTTTCGACAATGCACTTTTTGAAGCACTGACCGTACTGATCAGTTTGGATTAAATGGCCTCAAACCGGCTCTACAAATACAACAATACAAATTATTGCTTATAAGTACCTATACTTACGTATGGAATGTTTAGGGCGGCGGTTATCGATGCGCATGGGCCACTAAACACACGTAGGCATATATGAAGACTTGTACAGTGACAACCCGCAGTGTCGTTGATCATTCAGCATTCAAAATTCAAATTAGACTGCAGCGATACATAATTACGGAAGAAGATAAACGTCTGTTAAACCTTCACTTGGTGGCACACCCAAACGTTACAAATAAATGGGTGGTGTCCCGTAATCGTATACCTATGTGTATAAGTTGTAGTAGGTAGCCATTAACACTGCATGTCACACATTTACACTACCCATATATTGTATTATAAACATAAAATATAATATGAGTGTGTAATATGAGTCGACCGGTAAAAACTCAAAGGCATAAACATCGCAACCGACGCAGGTGTACGACAACCGGGCACAGCGGGACGTCCCTTTTATTATGTTATAGCCTTATAGGCGTGGTTGTAGAATTAAAATTAAATCACTACAAGTGTAATTTACATCGACGTAATACATACGTAATCGACATCCCGCCGCCCGAGGTCCATTTCTATGAATGTTAACTTTTATAATAATAATATGATTATCTCTTCATATGACGTGTCGAACACGGCTTATAACAATACAATATTTACAGTTTTTAACCGATTAATGGATTTACCTTTTTAACGTGTTATAGGTAACTTATAACCATGTCCGATATTATGAAATATTTATATGAGACTAAGTTTTTGTTTATCAAGTAAAACAATTAATCAATGGTTCCTGCACCTATTTGTATCTTATTAGTTTAAAAGTTAAAATCAGCGCAGGGTGACACGTTTGTTAATAAGGCACCGCACGGAAATTTTCAATTTCCCGTATAGTGACAAATAATAAAAACTAAACAATTAATATATTTATTGCGAAACTCTACGTACCCAACTACTGTAAGCAATTAAAAGTAACAAAACTAACAACTTTTTGTGAAGCAAGCTTTTTTTTACAAAATCTTATATTGTAGTATTCGGCGTTTTACGCTCTCTGTAATGTTCTAATGTTTCTGTGCAGACAGGTTGTCGGAAATAAAAACATGGTTTGGGTCAGATAAAAGATAATATTTGGATTATTCACGGCTCGTCATTTATTTCTATAATTCATATAAATATACCTAAAATGTTTCTTTGTTTTTCTTAAGAATAATATAACATAAACTCATTAAGTTTGCAACGAGAAAAGAAGCCACCTGGTGAAGAATTGCGACTTTCCAAATTATAAAATCAAAATTAATTGTTAATGTCTTGCATAACTTAAAATCATCTCATATGTAAAGTAATTTATCATAATCTAGTCTGTTAATTGTTTCCATAAGAAGACCGCTTATTATTCTAAATATTCTATGTACCTATTCTATTTAAGATAAATGATTTTTTTTTAGAGTATCTAGGTATATTTAATATATAGTATATTCTATTGTTCGGACGCTGTTCTGCAGTCACAGCGTCATCGTGTAAGAGACTTGGGATTGAGATCTCAGATCAGAACACAAGAAAAAAGTCTTTATACAAGGTAGGTGTAAGCGTCCAAATAAGTTTGAGAGTGGAAATAATATGGCCAATGCCAAAACTAGCGCCGCCTTTTATGGTTGGTTGACAACCACATGTGGCTGCGCCTTGTAAACGACGGTTAGGCAATTACATATGCACAATGCCGTAACCACAACGACGAGAACTGGAAAGACCTATCGCGGGAATGATGATGGTGTACGTTAATTATGGAGAGGGGATCTCTGTGATCGATCCGGTATGGTGCAATGATCACAGAGCTCACAAACAACAGGGACAGTACTTAAAGCTAAATTAAAACTACTGAAGTCTTGTGGCGATGGCTTGGAGAAGATGGGGCTAGTGAGCGGTATCTCACACAACGTAATGTTGCTGGAGGACTTACGCTTTGACTCCGTCGATCCAGCGTGCAGATGTGAGTATCGCTAACTTTGACGGTGACAATAGTAATAATAATAATAATAATAATTTACTATTGTATCTTTCTGATTGATCGTTATTTATTTATTGAAAAAAATATATCTATAGTAATAAACAGCATACCTATTAATAAGGACAGTTTAATGGTTATTAATTAAGTATCCCAATCATTCTACATGACTTTGACAACTATTAATTAATAATTAAGAGTTTAAAATAAATTTAACTCACCAGTTTATTATGTGCCATGGACAATGTTTCTAGTTTGGTCAAGTTCTGCATTTCAAACGGTACCACCATCAAATCAACATTATCTATTAACAGAATTGTCAAGGATTTTCTGATGTTTTTCAACGACATCCAGGTCCAGAATATATCCTTTTCGAGTCGCGTCTTTCCTAGTACACTGCCCGACAGGCTGATATTCCTGAGATGTGGCATGTTCTCCAGTCCTACTAAGCATGGCACATCAACATTTTCTAATACTAGGTTTGTTGAAATGTCGAAATCGAATTCTAATGTATAACGTTTCATACACGAGAACGAGCCCATATCTAGCCTGTACCCGTTGTTGATAATATTGTCCTTATCGTTCAAAGCTATGTACTCGTGGATGAAAGACAAAATGTTCTGAATGTGAGTTTGAATTTCGCACAGAAGTACGACGTTGTGCTTGTGCGATTTGAATTTCAGCGCCACCCGGTCTGGATATGCATCGTAAGTTAACAACAAGTTCTTCCAGTTTATAATCCGTTTGGGTGGACCTTACAGGTTGGACTTGCAAACTATTCTCTTCTGGCGTGATTATGATAAATGCGGTGAGCGACGGGCACAACCTTTCACCAGTGTCAGAGTCCTCGATAATAGCTTTACACACTGAGGGCTCCATTCTTGCAATGGTGTGGTAAGACTCAATGTAGATTAATGGACGTAGATACAAGGATACTACGATACTAGTATTTTAGTCCTGGTGTATTGAACCGATGGCCAATTGCACCCGAACATTGTGTGGTAGAATTTTATTGTTTCGACGAGGACGCACATCGGTCACGTCGATTAACATGAGTCCTGTGTTATAATCCTATTCGTAAAATCACTCAGATAGGGTTACGTATGTTCGGTGGAATTGGTAATGTCAGCGACTTCGTTGTAGTCGTTTTGGATGATCGAACGATTGTAAACATTCAGTGTTGGGAATAGATAACTAAATTTCTATCTAGATAAAGATAAAGATAAAGAATAAATATTTTATCTAGATAAAGATAGAGATAAATAAATTTAATTTTTATCTAGATAAAGATAATTAAACAACCATTTTATCTAGATAAAATTAAGATAAATTGTATAATATGAAAATTTATATTTTTTCGCAATAGATATTTAACTGTTCTATTTTCATAACCAACACAACCATAGAATTCAGTGTCCTTTTAATAGAGCAGAGAGATCTGGATGAATAATAAATATAAAATAGGTATTAATTTTAATTATTGTATATAACTATATAAGGGTAGAATAATAAATCACAGTTAGTAACTTACTATTTATCTATTCTGTGCTACTATTTATTACAAATCAAGTCTTATTTTTAAGGTAGAAACAATAATAAAACTTTCATTTAAAAGAACATTATTATGTTATAATTAATAAACTTTCAAATCATGTGAAAAAATCTTTTAATTTTAAATTTTAATCAACAAAATATTATATAAAAATAGGTACCTGTTTATAATTTATCTAAATATCTAGATACGTAAATTGTTTATCTAAGATAATTTCTTAAGATAATTGTCAACAGTTTATTTATATTTATATAGATAAGATAAAGATAATTTTATTATTTATCTAGATAAATTATCTAGATAAAATTATCTAGATAATCCCAACACTGTAAACATTTGACCGAAATTCAATTATTAACATCACAACGAGGGCAGAGTAGGTACTGCAACTACGCAATAGAAAAATTATATGGATGCTGAGTTCGTTGACTTGATAGCTGACTCTCTATTTCTAGAACAAAATAATAGGTATTAAATCTGATATTACTTAACTGAGAGATCAATGGTTAGGTTTAAAATTAAAACATCAACACAAGACTTTCAAGTTTTATACTTTTGCTGCGTCACTTAAACTATAGCCATATAGCGTGCAATTGTCGCAAATGCTGCTCAACGATAATGCCCCTAAAACGAAATGAAAATGCCAAAAGGTCTTCACTGGATTTTGTAATTTTGATAAAAAACGTACAAACGTAATATAAAAATTAAAATGACTGATGATAATATTGAGACTCGACTCTTCAATTTATCCGTGGCAGTGGCGTAGCCAGGATTTTTTTCGGGAGGGGGGCTGATCAATTTTTTACACAGCGGTGGCTTAGTTTTTGATCGAATACCATAGACCGTTAAAATAATTTTTAAATTTTATTAACTTTTCGGGGGGGGGCTGCAGCCCTCTCAGCCACCCCCCTGGCTACGCCACTGATCCGTGATGGTAATTGCCAACGAAGTTTTTACAACAACACGACGGCAATAACCATTGATATTTGGTGTTTAGTAAAAATATTAATAAAATCTAATTTATCCTTTATTTATTACACAATATCAAGACTACTCGGGTTTTTCTTTTATTGACACAGTAGGTACTTTTCAGTTTTCACCAACTGTAGAGACATTTGGATATTGAATACCCAACAACAATTTACGTTTCGTATCGGGATATGATTATATGAATATATGACTGTGCGGTTCGTGTTCGTAGTCGTATAGTTCAGTCTTCGGTTAAGATGACGTCCCCCCGCATACGTCTTACGAACGTCTAAACATAGCAAAAACTGTTTTGAGCGGGATCAAACCACTTATTCTGTAGTCCAATGTCCAAGCTAAGCAATACAATTTGCATACTATTATGAGGTGAACATATTTTACTGTTCAACATAGTTTTTCAGTATCACAAATACAAGAATAGTTGTTATTGTTTAAAAATTCATTATTTACAACTCGAATAACTTTTTTTGTATTTGTGATACCAAAAAAATAAAAATAATGATACACATTAAATATTCTGCTCTAAATAGTATGAAAATTTGGTTGCTTGGCTTGGACCACAGCCTGATTGGTTCTATCCCGTGCAAAACAGTTTTTGCCATGTCTTACATTTGTAAAGGACAACAAATGCGAGTAGCGTGGAATGGAAGGAATGGAGAACGGTATAAAATAAAAACGATCTAACATCATCAGTCATCAGAACATTTGTAACAGGGACTAATGCTGTGATCGTGATGTCCAGTGAGGTGTCGCCGTAGACACTCGCCGCCGCCGCCGCCGCCGACGACTTGAAAACTGACAAACGAAGGTATATCGAAAAGCTACTAGTACATATACGACCCTGGTCCGATGGGAGACCAAAACTCACTGCTGATATTAATATATTATTATATTATTATATTTATTATATCACTTCTTTGCGCTCTATCGGTACACGTTCATGGCCTAACCACTTTATATTATCTGTAGCCATTGTGTTAAAATAGACAGTTTCTTTGTGTGGCGATGTGTTACGCCACTCATACTAAAGCCATA